CTTTTCACCATCCTTATCATCTTGGTGGTCCAAGTTACTTGGTAATAGCTTCCTATACAGTTTCTTTATGTCCACTCATGCCTTTGGCCTATGTTCTCACCATACAGCAGGCTGGGCCAAGGCTTTAAATGCCAACCTGGTTGTGATAGGTCCCATGCTCTCACCACTAGAATGTTTCACAGTATTCCCATTATCTTTACAATAAAGTCCTAAATCTTATCACGGCCTCTAATCTCTACCTCAGAAGTTCTCAAACATTTAGTCTCTAGACCTATTTACACGCAAATCACATCAGTTGCCGACACATATTAACACTGGTGAAGGAGAAGACAATGAGCAATAAAGGCGAGGTCACCAAACAATGGTCAAGGCAAAGGAAGCACTGGGAGGCGTGGAAGAGTTAGCAACAACAGAGTTAAATACTATTAGAAACACAATCCTGTAAAAGCAGTAGTAACAACACTCTGCGTAGATATCTAGGTAGACACGCAAACTGAAGAGGTCTGGATAAGGGAACAGGACTATGCAAGGTTGACAGAGGCCATTTCTACACATGTGTTTTCATGTGCTACCAATATGTCCGTGAACATAATAGAACACACAGGGGGTGAAATGATTAAAAACTTTTTAGCCAGAACCAAGCACCTTGAGGACCAGGGTCATTTGCCCTACAGGATCATCGTCTTAGGGGAAATCATGGTTCATGGGTACAACATAGTTGACAAAGGCAACATGCTACATCCAACTGAGGTGAGTAGCAGCTTGAGTCTTGACGCTTGTGAATGGCTCCCTAAAGTTCAACTACTGGTCACTCTCTGCTGTGCAGAACAAAGATGACTGAAGAAAATTAAAGACACATGGAAACGATTATTCCAAAGGATTAAAGGGCCTAGGAATCTTGGCCTCAACAACCTGGAAACCAGAAGAACTAGATAGTGCCAGGCTACTACTACCAACTTCTCTGAAAGGGATTGGACTGAAGGTCGTGGATAAAGGTGAAAGAAAAAAGTGAAACAAAACTCAAAATGATAAAAAATAAAGACCAGTCTTACCAGTCAGATAGAGATCGGTGGCACTCTTGAGACTATTGCCTTTAGTCGCCCTTCGAGCCTGGAGCTGAACTCGCTCCATGACCCAGGCTTCAACCAAACAATAGACAGGCCTATCCGAGAAACAATAACTAGAGAGTTCTTCACTCCTTACGCCAACCAGTCCCTGGACATCTAATGGGCACTGTCCTTCCAAGATCGGGACTAGAAACTAGACACACGAGGTATCAGTGTGATAAGTGATGTTACATTGTGCAGATTGCAATCAAGACATGCATCCAACAAAATGTATGCACTACTAAATGGAAAGCTTATTTGCTCTACAGACTTGCACCCAATTCACTATTAAAAGTGAAACACACACACACACACACACACACACACACACACAGCACATTTGAGTTGCAAGAGCATTCTGGGATGTTCCTTTCTACTGAAGAACACACAGGACTCCTGGTCTAACAGTGAAGCTCAGACACAAAAGAGTGGTGGTTTGAATCTACCCAACAACTCCTAAGGAGAAAGACCCGGCAACCTACTTCCATAAAGATTATAGCCACGGGAGCCCTACGGCAGTTCTATTTGCCGTCAAGGTGGCTAGGACCTGAAATACGCTCAATGAGCACAGAGCAACAACAGTCACAACAAGTCACCGCTGGAGGAGAAGACAAGAAGTTATATACTTTTGCAGTCGAGTAATAGGCACATAATTGTTTCTTGCTGGCAACAAGATTGTGATGCATTTTTTAAAATATCTAGCACTTTAATGAATCATACCTGGGACCTATATGCAAAAAAGGGTTTGGTGGATTCAGTTTGCACTTAACCACTAATCTAAGGTTTAGTAGTTTGAGTCTCATTCCTAGTCTCCCCCACCTCCCCGACACTTCCCCCCCACCCCCAGAGGTGCCCCAGAAGATCTGCTTTTATAAAGATTACAGACAAGATGCTCTTATCACAGTGTTGTACTCTGTAACCTATGGGTTATCATGAGACAGAAGCGACACATGAAGAGAGACATTTTCCCACTTTTCCTTCTTCTTTTCCAGCAATCTGTAAAACTCCACCGTTTAGTTGAGTCGCACAGTAGCATTACCGTCTCTGTGTGTGAAAGAAAAGGTAAGTGCTCTATTTCATACCTGTGGGCCACGTGGTGAGACGGGGATCTGAATCCGCATGTCTGGTGGCTCCAACTACTCCCGTCTTTTGATGTATCTTTTTCTGTACATTTGGTTAAAGGAGTGGGGAATTTGAAATCTTTCCAGTTAAAACGCAAACAAGACAGCATTTCCCAGGTAAATTGGTGTCCAATAAACAGAACGTACCTAAAGTGTATCATTTGATAAATTTGGTCATATGTATAAATCTGTGAATCTATCACCACAATTAAGCTGGTGGCTGTCACCATGACCCAAAGTTACTGTGTGTCCCTTTGTAACCCATTCCTCCCCGCTACTCCTTCCCTGCCCCAGCCCCAGACAGCCAGTCGTCTGCTGCCTGTCACTGGCTATTAATTTGCATTTTTAGGAATTTTATGTTTGACAAAACTATTGTTTATTCAATCAGTCCTCTATGAAAGGATTTTTTTTAACCCATCTTTTGCTCTTACCAATAGTGCTGCAGTAAAACTCCATGTATATGCCTTTTTGTATGTTGTTGTGGTGAGGTGCCACTGAGTGGGATCTGACCCATAGCGACCCTGTGTACAACAGAATGAAGCACTGCACGGTCCTGTGCCATCCTTCCACTGTTCCTATGCTTGAGCCCACTGTCGCAGTCACTATGTCAATTTATCTTGTTGATAGATTGTTGAGAAAGAAGTTTTACTGCCCCTCTACGTTACCAAGCATGATGTCCTTCTCCAGGGACTGATGTCTCTTGACAACATGTTCAAAGCACGTGAGACAAAACCTCGCCATCCTTACCTCTTTGGTAGAGGTTTTGGTTAAAGAATCAAGACACACTTTCTTTTGCTGGATAGATATTACCAAATTTTTCTTTGCATAGAGATTTCATTTCCATAAAAAATGCATCTGATTTTTTTTCTCACAAGCATGTCCACAGCATACGTTGACATTTGGATTTTCCTATTCAGATAGCTGAGAAATAGTATCATATTATTGTGTATATATATATCTTTATTTTTGAAGAAAATAATTTAAAATGGAACAGTGGCTAGAGTGCTTCAAATCTTTTTTATCCTGAGCAGGTGGACACTGCTACAAGAAGCTTGGAGACTTTGTAGTTAAATCCTGGACTGCTGACCCAGGGGTTGGTGGGTTGAATCCACCCGACACTCCCTGAGAGAAAGGTGTGGCTGGTACCTTCTGCAAAGTGCAACCATGGAGACCCTTTGGGGCAGTTCAACTCTTTGCTGGAGGGCTGATTCTTTAACGCCAACTAGTGCTCTCAGCCTACATCGGAGTTTTGCCAATACATTCAGCAGTGATCTTATAGAAAAGGCCTCTCGCCAAGGCGGCCTCCTCAAGCTTGCACTCTCCATGCTCGCTCGTTTTGACCTTCTTCTGCCTTTGTGAGCATGACTCTTCTGACCCTAGTTCGTTTTTGGATGCTCCTCACTTTGGACTTGTCTGATGGTGCCTTGTAGATGCAGGTTATGTATTTTTGACTGGGCTCTCGTAGACGTGATCTTGTGTTCACAAGGGCATCCTTGCAACAGAACACACGATTTCCATTTATCCTATTACTGATGAAGTCAGTGACTGGTTACTTAATGAAGGTAATATCTGTTGTAATTTCTCTCTTTTTGTAATTAATAGTTACTCTCTTGAAGCTATACAAGTATCAATCAATTATCTTCATCAAACTTTCGCCAATTAATTTTTGCATCCATTGATGTTTCTTTACTAAATTAATTGTTACTCTGATAGTTGCCAAATCGTGGTTTTGTAATTCCATCTCTCCCCTATATTAATTTGTTGGCATTCTATTTTAAGGAAAAGCTTTCCCTGGTCCTGTTTATTTGTTTCTTTTCTTTTATCAGTATGTGTTCACGAATTCTTATTTTATAGGTGAGTCCCAGTTGAGTACCGTCACTGCTAACTTTTTGATTTGGGCATGCGTCCTTCAAGTTGGCTGCTGACAGGCTCACAGTGCTCTTTATTCTATGTTTTCACTTACTTCATGGCACAACAAGAGGTTCCTGTTTATCTTACATTTTCCTGGCCCTGTTCTGGAAGCAGTCATTTTTTTCAAGGATCCTTTTGGGGGCTACTGGAATTCACAAAGGAAGTCCTGGAAGCGAGGACTGTCTTAGCGTGGTGGGTTATACACTGGGTTGTTAACTACAAAGTCAGTAGAGTGACCACACGAGCTGCCCTGCTGGAGAAAGATGAGCTTCTCTGCTACTGGAAAAGTGTACAGCCTCGGACCCGAGGGGCAGTTCTAGTCTCTCCTATAGCATTGCTGTAAATCAGAAGCAAGGTGATGGCCATGGGTTTGTTTGCTTTTTTTTTTTTTTAAGGCCATTACCTGGGCTTTGGATGTGCTCATTCTTTTAATTTATTTTTTTTAATTGTTATATTCAGAGCTCTTACAGATATCATTAGCATTCCATAATCAAATCACACCAAACCGTGTTGTGCAGTCACTCCCACAATCAGCTTCAAAACATCTTCTTTCTTCTTGAACTCCTTGATATCTGCACCCCTGTATCCCCTCCCTCCCCCACCCTACCCCCCAGGAACCATTATTTTTTGTGTGTGCCATATTCTATATATCCATTCACATACAATTCTATTGTCTGATCCCATCGAGTGGGATTATACAGTCATCAGTGCTATCATCTCCCTGTTCCCCCTAACCCCGCTTCTCTTCCCATACCCCCAGGGAACCATTACTCCTGTTACTGTTTCTGAAGGGTTATCTATCTTGGCTTTCATGTATCAAATGATCTTAAGTATACAGATGAACCTCTGAAACTCTGACATGATTAATGAGGTAAACAAATAAAAAACATAATATTATGGGGAGGAAATATTAAAGAACTAGAGGATAATTATGTGCTTCATCAGGGCTATACTGCACCATGAATCTATCATCCCTTCCATGTGGCACTTCTGAGAGGGACTGTCCCATTATCATACAGGTGGATTTTGGGTCTCCACTACATCTACACCCCTTCACATAGATTTGGTTGCTTGTTTTTGAACTTCTGATACCCCTTCCTGTTGACACCTCATGATCTCACAGGCTGGTGTGCTTCTTCCATGTGGTCTTGTTGCTTCCCTGCTAGATGACTGTTTGTTTAAGTACAAGCCTTTAAGACCCCAGATGCTATATCTTTTAATAGCCAGGCATCATCAGCTTTCTTGACCACATTTTCTTATGCACCCATTTTGTCTTCAGCAATTGGGTCAGGAAGGTGAGTATCATACAATACCACATTATTAGAACAAACTGTTCTTCTACAAAGGCAAGTTTTAAGTAGAGGGCCAAGGCCCATCTGCTTCCTTGTTACATTTGCATAAATATACATATGTAATTAAATAAACACATATTCACATATATACATATATATTTTTTCTTCTTTCCTTTTTTGTTTTTTTTCCCCTCCAACCCCACTATTATGTGTGTACCCATTGTTCACTGTTTAGTAATTCCTCTCAGATAAAATTCGATTGACCAAACACATCCAGAAAAGCTACACCCTTGCCATTAATTTTAGAGCCTTCACTATTTCCTGGTAGTGATTGTTATTGGCTCATAGCTCACCTCCCCCTGTCCCTCCTCTCTAATGACCCTCAGGAATCATTGGTCCAGTTGCTGTCTCTGTAAGATTGTCTATCCTGCCTATCTTGTACAGATAAGCACCAAAATAAATAAACAAATAAATAAAGCCATACAGATAGTCACAAGTCTGACAGGGATCCTGACATAGAACAGATAAATTTCTCTCTATTAAATAGAGAGCAGGGCATGTTATAAACCAGCAGACCTGTCCCCATTTCTTTCGGGGTTCCCTATCCCGAGTCCCACTTAGCTAACAACACATATCCCCTTTCAGCCTTCATCATTCTTGTCCGAAAGGTGAGCATCCTGAAAGTCCCCATTGCTATTCCTGCAGTCGAGGATGGAGCAAGTCTAGTGCCCCACCCCACCCCACCCCACCCAGGTATGCCTTTAGACTTTCAGTGTGGCTCCCTTGTGGCCCCCAACCAGTTTAGATGGGGTGCTAAGTGCTGCCCTCTGAGTTGGAAGTCTTTGATTGGGATGCTTCAGGGACTTCGTGGCTTCGCTACGATCTCTGGTCTGTTGCACTCCCCTCTTGATTTGTCCCCATGTCGTCAGGTCAGACCATTTGCTCTCCCCAAACTGTATCTTCAGGGCTGTCCACTGCTGTGCCATCATCTAGGGAGAGGATGTCACCTCTTGGGCTGAGGCCGGCTTTGCAGTCATCTCTGGGAATGAGCTGCTCTGAGCAGGAATGTTGTCCTCAAGGATTGGGACCCTGAAATGAGGTCTACTCTCATTCTCCCTTTCCTGTGGAGATATAAAGAATATCCTCCCCTTAGGTTGGTTAGTGCCCTGACCCCCCCTCTGCTGTCATTTCTCTCCCCCCACCCCTCTTTCGGCCTTAAAGGCATATGTGAGGGGGGAAAAGATCTCTTTTAGCACAAGTGCTATCTGCACATGTTTTTGATGACATATGAATCTAGCTTCACTCAGCATAATATCCTCCAAGTCTTTCCATGAGATGAGGTGTTCCATAGTTTGATCACTATTTTTTAGGGATTCATAGTATTCTATTGTGTGTACATACCAGAATATTTTAATCCATTCATCTATTTATGGAAATTTAGGCTGTTCCCACTTTTTTAGCAACTGTGAGCTGTACAGCAATTAACATTACAGAGCAGATGTCTAGTCGTGGTCTGTTTCTTATTTCTTCTGCATATATGCCCAGTAATTGCATTGCTGACTCATATGGTAGCTTGATTTCCATCTGTTTTAGGTATCGCCAAATCTCTTTGCACAGTGGTTGTACCTATCTACAAGACCACCAGCAGTGAATGAGCATTCCTATTTCTTCACACTCCCTCCAACAGTTGTTGCTTTCTGTTTTTTTTAATTGGGTTATCTTTGTGAGTATTAGGTGGTATCTCATAGATGTTTTGATTTGCATTTCCCAGATGGCTAGTGATCAGGAACATTTTCTCATATGTTTATTGGCCACTCAGATTTCCTCCTTTGTGAGACTTCTGTTCAAGTCTTTTGCCCAACTCCTCAAAGGGCTATTCTTTTTTTCTTGTTGTAAGCTTGCAGGATTCTGTAGGTTTTAGTAATAAGCCTTTTTTGGATATGTCATGTCTACATACCTTTTCCTAATCTGTGGGCTCTCTTATTACTCTCTGGATGAAATCTTTTGATGCACACAAGTGTTTTCAGTTTAGTAGGTCCCACTTGTCTCTTTTATCTTCCTCTGGGTGGGTATCCTTCCTGATGTCTGATAGTCCGTATATTCCTTCATCCCTGCACTAAGATCCTTAGCTTTGTCCCGATTTTCTCATTTGGATTTTACCTCGAGGTCTGTGATCCACCTTGAATTTGTTCTTGGGTATGGAGTGAAGTAAAGGCCTTGTTTTCTTCTTCTGCAGGCTGATCTCCAGTTTTCCAGTACCATTTGTTGAACAGGGCATCTGCTTCCCATTTGATATTTTGGGGGCCTTTGTTAAAGACCAGTTGTCTGTATGCTGCTGTTTTAATTCCTGGATTTTCTGTTCATATCCAGTCGTCTGAGTATCTATCATGCCGTGCTGACACCTGTGGCTGTCTAGTAAGTTTAAAGTCAGGTAGTGCAAGCCGCCCACGTTGTTCTTCCTCTTGAGTTGCTCCTTGCCAATTCTGGGCTTCTTCCCTTTCCATATGAAGTTTGTAGTCAGTTTTACCATTTCTTTGAAAACCTGATGCTGGAATTTGTATTGGGATTGCATTAAACTTATATAGTGCATGATTGGTATCTTTACAATTGTATTAGTCTGGGTACTTTAGAGAAACAAATCCACAGAAACTCATATATAAGAGAGAGTTTTATATAAAGGGTATGTGCATATCAAGAAAACATTCCAACCCAGTGCTCCCCAAGCCCACAAGTACAACATTAACCCATATGTCCCACACCAATCCACAAAGTCCTCCTCCATCTTGCAAAATAGACACAACGATGCTGACTGCAGGAGGAAAGCCAAGTCAGTGAATGTGTGAACATCTCAGCGCTGGCAGGGGTCTCCACACGGGTGCTCCATCACCCAGGGCTGTATCAGGTAGGTGCATGCGGCTTCTCCTCAGGAATGTCTTGCAGGAAGTCAGCCTTGCAAGCCATATCAGAGAACTGCTAAGGCAGCTGCACCCTTGTGCAACCATCACAAAGCAAGAGACCCGAGATATAGAAAGATGAGGCTCACTGAGTCATTTATCCCTCCGCCCTTCAATTAATCCCACATGTGTTTATTGGCCAGGTTGGCACAATAAACTAACTAGCTCAACAATGTTGAGTTTTCTGAACCATGAGCACAGGATGTTCTTCCATTTGTGAAGGTCCCCTTGGGCTTCTTGTAATAATGTTCTGTAGTTTTCCTTTTACAGATTTTTTTTTTGATTAGGTGTTTCCCTAGATATTTCAGTTTATGCTTGGCTATTGTGAATGTTACTACTTTCTTGATCTCTTTTTCTGTAATCCCTTCAGTGGTGTATAGCAACCCAATTGACTTCTGCTTATTGATCTCATATCCTGCCCTTCTATCATATTCCTCTATCATTTCTAGCAATCTGTGGAGCCTTTGGGGTTCTTTCTATATAAAATCATGTCATCCACAAATAATGATAATTTTATCATTCTTTCCCCAGATGTATACCTGTGATATCCTTCTGTTGCCTTATATTATTAGCTAGCCCCTCCAGGATGCTGTTGAATAGAAGCGAGGATAAGGGGCATCCTTGTAGGGTCCCTTTTTTCAGTGGGAATGTTTTTGTCTTTTCTCCATTGATTGTAATTCTGGCTATTGATTTTTCATATGTAGTTTTTATTACATTGAGGTAATTTCTTTCTAATCCTATCTTCTTGAGTGTCTTTATGAGGAATGGGTGTTGAATATTGTGAAATGCTTTTTCTGCATTGAATGACATTATCATGCAGTCCTTACCCTTCATCCCTGGTATGAATCCCACTTGGTCATGATCAATTTTTTTAATATGCATGTTTGTATTCTATTGGTCAGGTTTTTGTGAAAGACTTTTGCATTTATGTTCATTGGAGATGTCAGCCTACAGTTCTCTATTCTGTGGGATCCTTGAACGGTTTGGGTACCAGTATTACACTAGCTTCATAGAGTGTGTTTGGGAGTTTACTGTCCTTTTCTATGTTTTGGAAGAGCTTATGTAGGATTGGTGTTAGCTCTTCTCTGAATGCTTGGTAGGGTTCTCCTGTGAAGCCATTTGGGTCATGGTTTTTTTCAGATGGTAGTTTCTTGATAACATTATCTATTTCTTTTTTTGCTATGGGTCTATTCAAGTTCTTGACATCATATGAGCTAATATGGGGAGGGTTTGTTTTTCTAGGTATTTGTCTATGTCCTTCAAATTGTTGAGTTCCTTGGAGTAGAGTCCTTCATAGTACATTTGGGGTCCATTGTAAATTCCCCTGTTTCATCCCTCATACTCTATCTTGATGTTTGTTCCTTCCTATCTTTTGTTAGGTTTGCTACTGGTTTGGCGATTGTGTTGATCCTTTTGAAGAACCAGCTTTTTACTGAGTTGATTTTTCCCCAATCCCCCCCCCCCCCCATGTATCTCCACACTGATTTTTATAATTTCTTTTCCTTTGCTATTTGAAGGAGTTTTCTGTTGACTCTGTTCCATCTGCTGAAGAGAGTCCACCATGAGTCTCTCTCCCTTCTTCATATGCATATTGACTGCTGTCAAGGTGGCTGAGCTCATTATTATTGGGGTTTTGGTGGTTGGCAGTAGCGTATATGAATATATATGCTAGGAATATATACCTAGGTTGACAAGCAAATAAATAAGATACAAGTGGGTTTCCAGAGTTGGAGGAAAAATCTACTATCTTTTAATCCTATTTTTTCTCTCTTTAAGTCCCCTCAGACCTATGCTTATCTGCATAAACACATTTATACCTACACCACATGTCTATGTATGTGTGTATGCATGTATCTATGCATTTACACTGATACTTCCAATTCCAGTTCATTATCACAGGGTTCATTCTAGCATAGTCATGTTCTGTGTTTGAAATTTTCTTTCTTCAGGGAGAATTCTGAATTTCATATATTTAGTGGGTTATCCATGGGCTGCAAACCACAAGGTCAGCAGTTCCTAACTCCCAGCTGCTCCTCAGGAGAAAGATGAGAATTTTTGTTCTTATACAGATTTGTAGACTTAGAAAACTGTAGGGGCAGTCCTACTCTGCCCTGCAGAGTAGCGATAGTCAGAATCAGCTCCATGGCAGTGAGTTTGCACGTGCATCAATCAGACTGGCTGTAACCAGTCTGCTGCATAGGCTGGATGCAACAAATTACTCTCAGGTTGACACCCTTCCACCCTGTTGGGGTTCTGATCCTTCCACACAAATCCACTGTTGTAGCTTTCATGAATACTCTTTTCATGCTATTCAGATATCAGCATTCACATCAGACCACCATAGGGTCCTTATCACCCTACCTGGATTTTGACACTCTGTACTTCACATCTCAATTAGCTACTCTCTACCACGATTCATTCCTATTGTGCTCAATCTGACCTAATAGCTTTTGGTTTATTTAAGAAGGAGAAGAATGAGGAACAGAAAGAAAAAGGGAAGAATGAAAGGCAGATGGGAAAGAACAGAAGAAAGGGAGGATTTTGCATTTCTCTCATTATGAGTAATAGTGAGCATGTTTTCAAAGATTGTTAAGAAGCCACTTGCATTGGGGTTGTTAAGAAGCATTGGGGATGGCTATTGGCTCATATCTTTAGCCATTTTGCTATACAGTTATTTGCTATACATCTCTTTTTAAAAGGCACTCTTTCTATACTTGCATGAGGAAAGGCACCCTTTTCCTCTAATTTAAATTTCAAATATGTATTCTGCATTTGCCCTTTTTGGTACACAGGTGGTTTTTATTTTTATGTACTTGAACTTAGCATTTTATTCCTTAATGCTTATGGATTTTGAGTCAATGTAGAGAAATGCCCTCCTGCTCTTTGTCAAAAAGATACTTTGGTTGCTTTTTCATTGAAGTCTAGCCTACATAGCTGTTGGTCTGTATTTTTGTGGAGTAAAGGTTCTACAACTTACCTTGTGTCTCCTCATTATTTGCAGCTGGCATCCAAGAACTGGAATCCCACTTCCTGGTGCCTGGTGATTTATTACTTTTGACAGGGAACAAAGTACAAATGCCATGTGATGCCGTTCTGATTGATGGCAACTGTGTGGTGGATGAAGGGCTGCTGACAGGTATGGGTGTGCCTCCCTCCACAGGCGAAGCCTGTGCCCTCGCTCTCAGACCCCACATGGCCAAGTAGCCAGGCCTCTGCTCAAGAATGACAGCTGGGATGTGCCGGACAGGGCTCTGGCAGTTTGGGTTGTCCGAAGAGAGACCACCCTAGTCCCACACACCTTAGCTACCCGTGCTGCTGAACTGAAAGATGCTTTCTCTTTGTTAAGGGTGAAATGATCCTAACTTCGTACACCTTTTTGTTTTCCTCTTGGATGATGGGTTCTTACAACCTGCTCATTTTACCTTCAAAGAGTATGGGGAACACGAGTTCTTTTAGAAGTGACTGTGACTTTCACACTTAGTATTTTTTATTGAAAGTATGTTTTCAGAGATGTATGGATGGTTTGAAAACCATTAGAAACATCCTGAAACTCACGGAATCAAGGTCACGCTCCTCCCAGCCTGTCTTGAAAACATTGTAAAACCACTGAAAAATGTAGAAACACTTTCGGTGTAGCGTTTTGCAAATCTGCCACCTGCACCAATCTGATTTTGGACCTGCTGTATTTCATGTTTGGATGGCATGTAATCTCAGGGAGGGACTGTAGTGGTCACATCTCACAACTGTGGAGACTGAGGCCTGGAGGAGGGCAGTGAGTTACTCAAAGCCATCCCACTTTGATTTCTCCCTCCGCACACCCATCGTGGTGGGACATTGTGCCAGCAAAGCCAAAAGATAAGGGAAATCATAAAGTATTTTTTTCAGTACTGAAATGGGAGTCCATGCATGCACACCACGGGACAGTGGTTCCCAAACACACATTTCTAAGCTATGCTAACTTACTTCTTTTAAAAATCATGGCTACTTACGTTCCTTTCCCTCTATGGAGATTCATAAAAATCGCTTACTGGGACGTGTTTTTTAATTGCCAGTGTCCTTTTTCTAGAGAAAGTGGACCTGGTTCATGGGAACAGAACTCTGACCTGATCTGTCCACTGTGCCAAGACAGCGGGAAGTTTCCCAGGCCCGCCGCTCTGAGCAAACCATAATAGTTGCTTGTACCACCTTTTGTTAATACTTCGACCACTGCAGTGTGCCTCTCTCACTGCACTGGCCACAGGCAACAGACTCAATCACGAACTTCAACAGGTTCTGTAAGCTTCTCATCATCTGTAGTTGGCTGTTTTATATCTTCCACCTGTGCTATGGAAATGAGTAGATGATTTAAATGAGTGAAGGCATCCCACCTAAGAAAAAAGTAGAAGCTCATTTTTTTTTTGCAGGAGAAAGTATTCCAGTAACCAAAACCCCGTTACTGAGAATGGGGGGCTTGGTGCCCTGGAAAACACAGGGAGACGCGGACTACAAACGGCACGTCCTCTTCTGCGGCACAGAGGTGGTCCAGGCCCGGGGAGCCGGCGCTGGCTTTGTGAGAGCGGTGGTCCTGCAGACGGGTGAGCTCCTTCTTTTTTGTGTCCTTATTTTGAGAGAAGTCGTTTGTTCCGCTTGTTTACTCTCTACTCACTGCCCTCGAGGTGAGAGGCGATGCTGGCTCATTGCGACCCCATAGGACAGGGTAGAACTGCCCCTGCGGGTTTCCCGAAATCGTCATTAAAAAAAAAAAGCAACTTTATGGGCACATAATTTGCAAATCGTACAATTCAATAGTTAAATCATCTTAAGAAAAGTTGCGCAATCATCACCACAATCAATTCTAGAACATGTTCTTCTTTCTTGTGGTCATTATGAGCTCCCTTTTCCCCCCAACCACCTTTGCCAGACGGCGAGGAGCCCTGAGTCTAGTTCCTATCTCTATAGATTTGCCTCCCCTGGATTTCATATACGGGAAAACATACACCCCCTACTGCCCCCCAAAACAAAACAAAACAAAAAATCCCCAAACTAAGTAACAACAATAGCAAAGTAAAACAGTGAAAAACTTATGGAAGAGAAAGCAGCAATATTAAAAACCAGAACAAATTTGAAATGGGTCCAAAGGGAAATCAACTGATAAAGTGCCAGACTTTAACCTAAGTGCATCTGCAATAATCCACTTTCCAGTGCACTCGGCATAGACTAAAGGCAGGGAGTAGAAAGCCCGTCTTTCTCTCATGGACTTGCTGACAGTTTTGAAGACTTGGCCTTGAAACCACTATGCCACCGGAGCTCCGTTTCAGTTTGCTCAGAACTTAGAGTGTATTAGGCAAGGAGCAAAGTTATTTGGCTTTTCTTTAAGTAGCAAACCAAATATATATCTACATTGACACAGTCTGCCTATCTATATAAAGCTCCACAAAGCTTGGGGGGAAATGTATTATTTTTTAATTCCATCTTACACAAGCTTTTGAGAAATACGATATAACTTTTAGATAGATATATACTATAGTACATCTATTCGTAGTGCCTCACTGGTTAAATATTTGTGGCTGCTAATCAAACGGCAGGTGGTTTGAACTCACCCAGTAGTTGATCTCCAGAGGAGGGAAGACCTGGCGCTCTGCTCCTACAAAGACGACCAGCCCTCCGGGGGACAGTTCCACTCTGTCTTAGAGCATCATTATGAATTGAAATGGGATTGAGAGTACACAACAGTCTATGAGAGAACTTCAAAAAGTTCATAGAGAAATGCCATTATCTTTCAAGTCTATAGTTCCATGAAGCTTTTGAAGCCTAAACACACACACACACACACACACACACACACACACACGCGCGCGCGCGCGCGCCATTGAGTTGATTCCAACTCATAGGCACCCTATAGAAGTGGAAAACAAAGCCTCCTCTTTCACCCACAGAGCAGCTGGTGGATTTAACCCACTACCCCACCAAGCTGTGCGCACGCGCTTGTGTGTATAACGCCAATTAAGCTGACACATGCTTTTAGAAAAAAATAATGACTATTTATATGTGTTGAAAATTCTTCCCACACATAAAACCAGCAAAAATAATGACTACGTGAGTTGCACATTCTTCCCACATGAAAAACCAGCAAAGCAGACATACCCACTGTTGCACTTTGCACACAAATGGAATGAGAGTCACATGATTCAGGTGAACTTTTAACAATCATAAAGCTAGTAATTAACAGAATTGCATTTAGAACTTGGGTCATATAGTACGCAAATCTATGTTCTCCTCAGGCAGGACGAATAAGTCTTAGAAAAGTGAGTTCATTAGTACTTAGTGGGGCATTTAACTTCAGGTGACTGTGTGTGTCTGTGGGCTCACGAGCTGTTCTTTTTTTTAACAGTTTTATTAGGGGCTCATACAACTCTTATCACAACCCATACATACATCAATTGTGTAAAGCACATTTGTACATTCATTGCCTTCATCATTCTCAAAACATTTG